GGCGGCGGGGGACCGGCGGGGGGGCCGCCCGCCGCTGCCGCCCCGGGCTCCGACACCTACAAGGGTTGGCTCTTCAAGTGGACCAACTACCTGAAGGGCTACCAGCGCCGCTGGTTCGTGCTCAGCAACGGGCTCCTCAGCTACTACAGGTACCGGAGAGCGGGGGTGGGGAGGGGGAGCGGGTCGGTACCGGCGGCCGCTCGGCCTGGCCCGGCTCCGCCGCGGCGGCTGCGGGGAGAGAGGTGTCACCCCCGGGGGTCGGCCGGGCCCCGGTGCCTCCGGTGGCGGGGGACGAGCTTGTGCAGAACGAAAACCTTTCGGGTTTACCGAGTTTGGGGGTTTTATTTTTATTTTCTCTTCTCTTCAAGCCAAACGGAGGGTTTGCTCCCTCAGCGCGGCGGGGCCGGGTGCGGGGCTGCTGGGGGGACTGGCCGCCCCCTTGCTCCCCCGGCCTCCGCCTCCTCCTGCAGCATCTCCGGCTGCCCGCACGGCCACGGCCCCGCTAATTAAATTAACCCACCCCTTCTCGCCTCAGACAGGTTCCCTTTGGTAACCTCCTCCTGCTGCTGCCGGTTGCCAGAGGCCGGGAATCGGTGGGATGTGCGTGCCTTGGCAGCGGGAGCGCTGCGGGGGCCCAGGACGGTGTGCTGGGGGAGGCTGCCCGGGCCGGGGGCTGTTCCGGGGGGAGGAAGGAAGTTATGGCACTTAGAGGGGGCTCCAGAGTCTTGCCTGGCTTTATGGGCTCTCTAACGCCGTGGGTTTCATCCAGAGCTGAGTGTCAGAGATGGGGACTGCCAGGTTTGACTCAAAGTGGTGGTGTCTTAACGGGTTCTCTTGTGTTCCGTGTAGCAGTTGAGTGATAAATGTATAAATGTATGGATTTTGTAGCGTTTTGGTGTTTCTGTCCTTTAGGAAGGATGGTGTTTACTCTCGTCGCTTGGAAGACAAGTGCTCTGTCACCTTGGGTGTTGTGGAGCGTCTCTTGGCTGTGTTTCAGGACAGGGAAGTGATCCCAGCTATTATAGATGGCTAGAGCTTTATAAAAGAATACATCTTTAAAGTGCCAGCCCCTAGGAGTGCAGGCTTCTCTTTAAAGGCTATGCAAAAGCTGTGTTCCCTCCTGACAAGAAGTTCATCTTCTGGTTCCCTCTCTGCTCCAGCTGATGGCACGTAGCCCCAGGCAGATCCCCGAGCGTCAGCTCGCTGTCAGGTGCTAATATAGGCTTTAAAGAGTGTTCCAACATATAACATTATATAGAGAGTTAATAGAAACTCTAAGAGAGATCTGGAATGTGGGTCCTGGGGTCTGACCTCTGCAGGTAACAGGTCAGATGTTTGGTGCTGTGTTTATCTACTTGGAGTTGTTTAAGTCTCCTTCCCCAAAAACTCAAGCCAAACAAGAATTCTCTGTAAGGAACCCTCCCATAAGAACATAGTTACCTCTCAGTAATTCAGCTGATTTACTTTGAATCCTTTCTGGTATGCTAATTCTCTTCAACTCCAGTCTGGATTTGGACCAGCAGAGCTGTGCGGCTCGAGAAGGTTGTTGAAGTTTAAGGCTCCCCTTGTAACCATGTCAGAATGTTTTCTTTTTTTTTTCTGTGTTGCTGCCAAGTCTGTCATGAGCAAACAAGTGGTTTTCTTCAACAATTCTTCTAGATGGGAACAACTGGGTTTATTTTAAGACAATTTGATCTGTTTTAGGCTGAAACAACAAACAAAAACACCCAAGGAAATTATTCTGAGCGGCGTGAGGAGGAGCTGAGTCTGTGTTACTGTGTGGAGCTTTCAGCTGGTGCAGAAGCTGCTTGGGAAAAAGGATGCTGAAGGTTTTTGTGCCGCCTTTTCATCGTTGGGCTCGATGAGAACTGAGTTAATTTGCTTGTGAGTCAGGAGTATGAAAATATAGTACAGACCCACGTGGTAAAGGTTTTCTTAAATGTAAAAACGCCTCCACGAGTCTCTTCAAAGCCAACGCTCTTGAATAGTGACCCTGCCGACCCCTCGAGTGGCAACTCTTGTTGGTGATGGCAGGGAGCTCCAGTGGGATGGATTGGGGTAAACTGGCAGTTTGATTTTAATGTGACATCTGGCTGAGGGACAGGAGCGGGGGAGCTCCAGGAGTCAGGCTGTGCCTTTTCCTTGACCCCTTCCATGCGAGCAGGCTGAAGCACGTGGGTTACAAGGCTGCTGCTCGCTTGGCTTTTATGCAGAGAATTTAAGAACTAACTTCTATACAGGCCTGTGAGCCACGTGTCTCACCTTCTGCTGGGTCTCTGTGCTCATGAGGTTCACCCTCGGAGAACAGAGGGAGGTTCCTCTGTGCTCTGGAGGTTCCTGCCAGATTTTTTCTCCTCCCTTGGCTGCCAAAGGCTCTGTAGGTTAAATGATGCCCTTGTGGGTGAATTGCAGCCCTCTCCTTTTCTCCGTGGCTTTTGACACCTCCAACTTGAGTTTGGGAGGTGGTTGCCCTTCAGGAGAAGCTTGCTAGAAATGTGATTTTGCGTGTACAGTAAAAGTCATCCTAATTGGAGAAACTGCCCAGTGATGCCCCAGTGGCCTCCGTGTGTGTATTGGTTTAATTCCAGATTGAAGCTTTTAGTTTCATTTCAATTTCCTGCTGCTCACTGTTTTGCTTATTTCAAAAAAAGCCTGTCGCGTTGCTGGGTGGTGATTCCAGGGAGGATTTTTGTTTATGGGGTAGAGCTGTTAAAATCGTGGTGGTCCCCGGGGAGCTCTATTGCAGTGATGTGTGGGTGGGTGCGGTTTCTCGGGCAGCCAGGTACAGCGCCTGTTTTCTGCCTGGTTGGTTTGTTTGCTGAATTAAAGCTTCTAATTAGAGTATTCTTTCCGGATGGAGTATTTAAAGCCTCCTGTATCTTTGCTGCATCTATGAAGACATCAAGTCTTGCTGCCAGTGAAGCCTCCCTGCAGGATGTGTGCTTTTGGTTCATATCCCCTCTGGAAAATGATAACAGCTGGAGTTCTTGAAGATCTCCTCTGTGGTACCCTCCTCTGAAGTGATGCGTGTGGGGTTAAGAACTTCCAGGAGTCCCTCAGCAAGAGGTAGTTGGACTATTTTAATTGCCCTTGATTGTCTTTTTTAGGTTGGTTTTTGACTAAGTTTTCTGCCTGGCTTGAAAATGCGCAGCGCAGAGGTGATGTTGGTGTTGGAAGGCAGCTCAAGCGTGGCACAACTCGCCTGCTTGACTCGCTAATGATCAAAACTCCCTGGCAGGCTGCCACTTAGGGATTTATCATTACCTATAATTAGCACGTCTGTACAGGAGAATGTAATCACCTTGAACAGATAAGTGTTTTCAAGGAGCTTAGAGAGGATCTTTAGGTAAGTATTAATTCATCAAAGATTGGCGTTGGCTCTTGTGATAGATGCTCCAGGTGAGTGTTGTCTTCTCTGAGCAGCTTGCTCATATCTGGAAGAGCTTGAGTTTCATGTTGTCTCCTCTGGGGTCTGGTCCGTAGCCTGTTATTTGCAGGTTTGGTGTCTAAAGAACCTTCAGCAGTTCTTTCTGTGGAAAGCAGTGCCAAACAGAGGAGGAAAAACCATTTCATGCTGTGTGTGATTTGGTCATTGCTGTACAGTGAAAGGCTTCTCACCAGAAAGCAGCCTCAGCTCCCCTTGAGGGTCTGCTCCTGGAGGAGTGATGGATGCTCAGGGCAGTTTAGATGCCTTGTCATTGTTCTCCTCTCGAGGTGGATGGTTCCCTGGAAGAGCTGTGTTTCCTGGGGCGGGTTTTTCATGGGCATTGTTCATCCAGCATTGGTTGGTGTTGTAGGGTCTTGTGTACCACCTGGAGGGTTTTTTTCCCTGCTCCTGGTTCTGAGACTCCAGCTGAAACCTGAGGCGATGAGTGCAGGCAGGAGCTTGAAAACCACCACTGATACTGGAGTCATGGAGGGGTTGATGGCTTCAAGGAGAGACCTCTGGGAGCCTCTGGTGTGACCCCTGCTCAATGTGGGGCCACCAGATGAGGTTGCTCAGGCCCTTGAGCTGCTGAGGTTTGAAGGTCTCTTGAGGTGGGAGTTTACACAGCCTTTCTGGACCCTTTGTCCAGTGTTGGGCCACCCTTGGGGGAAAAATGTTTCTTTAGTTTATACACGAGGAGAGAGATATACTCTCTGACTTTCGTAATGGGCTGTCCCTCCGCAGCCATGGAGGCAGGTCCTGGACTGTCCTGGACTGTCACCCTGGGGGTGCTGGAGCCTGCGGGTTCCAAGGACAGCCCTGTAGCTGCAGGGGGACTTGAGCTACTTGTTTTCAAACAGCGTTTTAATAACGCAAGTTCCCAGTCACCTTGTTTTCGCTCTGCTCACTGTATCCATATGGCACGTTGCTGCTGATCACTGCTCGTCGTTTGCCTGTTTCTGAAGAAACTCATCTTTCTGTGCTGTGTAACCGGGGATGCCGTGCTCGTGCGGCTCCCTTGGGGCTCGGTGAGCCTGAGCAGGGCTGGAGAGCTGCCGGGCTGCCCTGGTGAGTGGAGGTGAGCCCTGGTGAGTGGAGGTGAGGGGTGGTGAGCCCTGGTGAGGGGTGGTGAGCCCTGGTGAGTGGTGGTGGGCTGCTCCTGGCAGGCGCTGGCTGCTCTGCTCCCCATTCAGTGCTGTGCTGGGGAGGCCGGGCTTGTTTTGCTCAAAACAGTAACCACTGCTGATGCCACAGAAGAGCATGAGACACAGATCGTGGTCCTGATGGAGGCTCCCATCACAGCCTGGTTATCGGCGACGTATCGAGATATTTATATCTGTGCCTTTGGTTGATAGGACGAGGGGTGATGGCTTCAAAGAGGGGAGATTGAGGTAAGATCTCAGGCAGAATTTGTTTGGTGTGAGGGTGGTGAGAGCCTGGCCCAGGTTGCCCAGAGAAGCTGTGGCTGCCCCATCCCTGGAGGGGTTCAGGGGCCGGTTGGAGGGGTCTTGGAGCAAGCTGGTGTGGTGGGAGGTGTCCCTGCCCAGGGCAGGGGGTGGCACTGGGTGGGCTTTAAGGTCCCTTCCAACCCAAACCCTTCTGTTGTTGTATGATTCTCACTGGTTGCAAACCACCAAAAAGAGCTATGAACTATCTTCATACTTTTATTTCTACCCGTATAATCTTAAATTGAGAATACTGGCCCAAATGCTTCATTGGATG